TAAATGAGACATGTATTACCATGAAAAAAATCCATTTAGCACAACATGCACAATCGTAAAAGTTCGTTGGCCCATGATTTCAGAGCAAGTATAATAAGATACAGTCAGCATGCTGTAAGGATTAAACTATTATAGTTTTACTGAGTTGGATGAGAGAGAATAAGAGAGAGAAGAGAAGCGAGCTGCAGATTAACAGCCGGCTGTAGCACGGGCTTCAAAAACATTATGAGAATGTAAGATGAGCCATGTATTAATAAATTACTACTTGTTAGCAACTTGCTACTATACATGTTGGCTATTAGATCGACTATATGTGACATGGCAACTCGATATAGCCGATAGTTGGCTATAATGAGAATGTCGTTTGGACTCCTAGGTGTAGATACACCTATTATGAGATATGTATAAAAAACACAATTCAAAATGTTAAATAGATTCAAGAAAAAATCCTGTGTATACATCTGGACATCTTATGTTCGCACACAAAAATTCGGTGAAAAAGACATATTTTGTGGCTTGTATAAAATAGATAAAAAAATGCCTCGTGAATAGTTGTAATTAAGCATCGAAAAATGTCTTTTTTACACAAGCCACAAAAAATGTCCTTTTTCACTGGAACTTGGTGCATACACATATAATATCCGGATTTACACACGGGATTTTTTTCTTGATTTTTTTAACTTTTTTAAATGTGTATTTAGACAACGGTGCATATACACCTATGAGCCTAAGTGAATTTCCGATACTATTAACCATGCTCTCACCCAGGAGTATGTAGATGGATAAGTTGACCAGTAAAATGTCATTGACCAACGGTGGGCACGGGGCAATGCCTGCTGGCGCACAGGATCCTTGGTCTGTCTGCCATACTCATACTGTCCATTAATGAATGAGCCTCCCTGATCCATAGTACTGCATCGAGCCACACGTTCCCCTGATTCGGCGACTCCCATAGCGAGATCTACCAGTGAGCAGCCCTTGGTAGCCACCAGTGCGTGGCCACTGACCCGTATCCATTCCATCGCTGGATATACACGTGCTGAATTATTCTTGTTCAAGCAGACATATTGCTGGGTCTACTGGTTCCCCTTACTTAAAATATTTATGTTTAAATGTAATACATTGAAATGTTTATCTCTAAATTATTGATGCATTATGATACTTATCAATGATTATTTTCAATATTCAAAAAAATGAAATAGATAAAAAAAGACACGGATAGTAGGAGATATTTGAGGTATGAGGGTCCGCGCCCGCATGACTATCTATGAACATGTTTAGAGCATCTTCAACAGACGCGCCAGATTAGCCGCCCACTGGAAAAAACGAATATAGCGCGCGCGGGACCAAAACTGGCGCTCCAGCAGCCGGGCTAAAATCACGCGCGCGGTAAAGTTGGTTCAGTGCATTGAGGGAAGCGGCATCGCATGCTGTGTATTTGGTGCGCCAGCTCCCGCACGCTGGACAGTGAACATTTACGCGCGAGCAACCAACTGCCGCCCGACAACCCCGCCTCCCACCACCGCCGGCGAAATTGCACCGATGGAAGGCCGCGCGACAGCCCCCAACCCCTCCCTGCACCGGGGACCCCTTCGTCGCCGCCGCCGCCGCAAACCCTAGCGAGGGGTTGACCTTCGGCTTCGCAGTCGGCGCCCCTCCTCCAAGCACCGGCCTCGTGCGCGACCTTTTCATGGCGCCCCTGGCGACCTCGCAGGGTGGTGAAAATGGCGTCGCCGCCCGCCGTGAAGCCACAGGGCTCTGTCTCCAAGCGACTGAATGCGGCGGCGGCGGCGGCGTCTGAAAAGAAGAAGAAAGTGGACAATGCTTCTAGGCGCCCGAAGAAGAAACCTGCAGCGCGTCCGGCCGCCCGAAGCGCCAGATAGCTCGCAATTTGTTGCAGTGGCAGCCGATGCGCACAAGGTGTTTGATGAAATGCCCACACGGTATGATTTTTTCCCTTTTCTTTCTTGTTGTTAGATAAATGTATACATATGAATAGCTTTATTAGTTTTCTTCAGCATACTTTGTAGTTTCAATGATGACACATACATTTCAACTATGGGTGTTGGCTCCACAATTCTCATTGGTATCAAACCAATGAAGTGCATGAAGATGATCATGAGTATGAAGTGGATGAGGATGATGGGGGTATCGTCGATGCACCGAAAGGAAGGGCGTGCAACTACAACATTGAGGAAGACGTCTTGCTATGCAATACATGGTTGACCGTGTCTATGGATGCCACCGTTGGAGGGGACCATTATAGACACATATTGGTTTTAGATGAAGGAGTTCTTTGATGCACACAACAAGAGTGGAATTGAGCGCACCGATAGATCTCTTCGCTCCCTGTGGTCGACGATCAACAAAGATTGTCAAAAGTAGGCGGTGGCAATGAAGTCGGTTGACATGATGAACCCAAGTGGCACTAATAATAGAGATAGGGTAAGTGTCATTTCTTTCTAATCCATGTTCATGCTTCATCTTTTGTGTTTCAAGTAGTAACTTGTTCTTTTGTTTGTAGCTTAATATTGCAAAAAAACTTGTTTTGCGGAGAAGAGAAGAAGACCAAGAAAGGCAAGGTCAAGAAAGGGAGAGCATTTGTGTTACCCCATTGCTATGAAATGTTGAAGGATGAAGAGAAATGGAAGCCCCGCGATGTCCTAGAGGAGAGTAAGAAACACAAGTGAACTATTGATTTGGATGATGATGAGGAGGAGGAGGCATCAAGTCATGGCGGCAAGAGGAGCCCTACACCAAACTCGGTTGCCTACTCTAAGCCTAAAAGGCCAAATGGAGATAAACAAGCAAGAGAGAAGAAGAAGAAGAATAAGAAGAAGAAGAAGAAGAAGAAGAAGAAGAAGCGCCATGGGAGGCTTGGGAGGCATGGGAGCTACGATGGGAGGCTTGGGAACAAGCATGGGAGCCATGGGCGCCATGTGCGGCATGGGAGCACCTACGGGAGACATGGGTGGCTTCGGAGCTACCATGGGAGACATGTGAGGCATGAGTTTTGGGTCTCTCATGGAAGGCATGGAAGAACCTCCGGGTGACATGGGTGGACGCATGGCTTCCGGTGTGTCTCACATGCCTTCGCATGATGCCTTTGAAGATAGTGCCAACACCGTCCGAGTTTTCAATGACGATGAGGCGCTTCAAAATGAAGAAGAGGAGGAATAATCGTCTTCGGAAGAGGAGTCGGAAGATGTGGCATGATTATTGATGTTTCATTCATTTGTGTGAACTTGATTGTGGTTTAGGTGATTTTGAACTATAGCATGCATTTGAACTAAACCCGAGCATGGACAGCCTGGTCCGGGCCGAATCGGCTTGACATTCTAGCCGGGCTCGGGCTTTGTTTTGCAGCCCGAAAGATAGTTCGGGTCGGGCTCATGCTTCCATTTTTCTGTATTTCGGGTCGGGCTTGCACGTGCGCATACTTGAAAACAACATTCGGGTCAGGCTTTCGCGCTTCGGGCTTGATTTCGTGTCAGGCTCGGGCTCGAAAACAGGGAGCATTTCGGGCTTCGGGCCAGGCTCGGCCTTGAGAAATGAAGGTAGGGCTTTTACAAGCCCGACCTGAAACCCGGCCCGGCCCGACGTTTGCCCGGGTTTAATTTGAACTATGCTATGTTGCTCCAACTCATTATTTTGCATATTTGTTTATGTCTGAGATCATCATATTGTCAAAATGGTATGTGTTGTTTGATATTTGCCAAGCACCGGTTGGTCGCGCGCGCTATATTTTGCAGCGCCTGCTGCGCTATAAAGGCGCGCTAAAATTTGCAGCGCCTGGAAAAGCAACCAACCCCCCTCCCGGCGCAAAAATGCTATTTCGGCGCTGTAAAAGTTTTTTAACGCGTGATCGCACGTCTGTTGAAGATGCTCTTAGGGGTCTTCATTTTACATTTGCCTTGAAGACGCCCTTATTTAGTCTTGCATGCGAACAAAGGTGCGTGTAGACTATCGAACACACAATAGTATGTCGAACTCAAATAAAGTATGCGCCCATGCGTTCATGGATCTGAATGTGTTTCACGGGATCCAGGACGATCTGTCGTCGTCATGAATGAGCAGAGCTGTGGGTGCGGCCGTGGTTGCGGCGCCGTGCCACGCCAATGCCATGGGCGGAGCCCGCTGACGCATGGCGATTGAATGGCGACCAACCCAACTGCATAGGAGTAAATGGCTTCTTATCACCTCCTGGGGCAGGGCCTCCCCCCCAACGGCTACCTAGTACACTATTCATTCCAGGTGATTCGCTATGCTGCTCTTCTTGTGCTGGTGACCCTTTTCCATGTCGACATAGGAAAACGAACAAGATCAACTAGGACGTGTGTAGTGCTATTTGTCAACCGTAATAAGCTAGAACGTGGTCTAGATCAACTTCTAAGTAACCTCGACCGTTTCTGGTCCCATGGCTGGAAGTGGTTTCTCATGCTGGATTGCTGGGTGTTGTCGGCCACAAGACCCCCGTCGGTCCCTCTATGTTTCCGTCGACGGCGAAAGAGATAGCGGCCGGCGACCCGGTTAGGAAAACAGCAACCAGATCGGCTGAAAAACAAGTCACCTATTCTTGACTCGGCCGCAAGGATACTATTGTTTTGACGTGCTAGAAGAATATCCCCCGCTGGATGTTTGAGTGCAAGCTGTAATAGTCTTGATTGCTTTGGGAAAAATGGGGAAAGTGTTGACGCATCCTAAAAGATTTTTTTTAGTATGGACAAAAACATCACTCCATGCCATAACGAAATGGGATCACTATGCATTGGCATCGCAGACGGCAAAAAATTGGACTGTCCCAACATTTACGATGAGGCTTTTCCACTCAAAAGATAGTCTAGATTCATCACCTTCTCACAGCATGTACCATATACATCCTCCAAATCCAAAATCACAAATAAGGGTTCAATTCAAGAGATAATATTAGTACAGCATTTTCCAGCAACCACCCAATTTATCATCTTCTCTTAACTGAGAATCTTAAACAAAAGGAAACAATGGAATCCAAACCTAAACCCGCAACAACCTACGAACTAAAAATCCGCGCTGTTTCCACGTCAGGGGCGGAAAAGCTGCGTGCCCCCGGTATATATCCCCAGAACTCTCGACCCAAGAACCCAACCCACCTCTCCGGCTCTCTTTCCCTCCCTCCTCCCTCGCCTCTGCCAATTCCGGTTGCTCTCGAGGCTCTCGCTGCAATGGCGGGCTCCTGGCGAGCCGCAGCGCTGGCGGTGGCGATGATTGCTTGGGTAGCAAGCAGCTGCGTGCTCGGGTTCCCGGAGGATTTGGTGGGGCGGCTGCCCGGGCAGCCCACCGTGGGGTTCAGGCAGTTCGCCGGGTACGTGGACGTCGACGTCAAGGCCGGGAGGAGCCTCTTCTACTACTTCGCCGAGGCGCAGGACCACGCCGCCGGCAGGCCGCTCACGCTCTGGCTCAACGGAGGTCAGTACCTACTGGCTACTGCTGCTGCGGTGCTGCTTCCTCGTCTTCCTATGCCTTCTCTTCTCCGCGGCCCTCTCTGCTCTTGGGCTGTCACTCTCTGATCTCCAGAGCGTTCTGTTGGAGTTTCTTCGGCCAGTTTGCCGAGCAGCGTTGGCCTTTGCGCCGTGGTCCTTGTTTTGTTTTGCTTCAGAATTAGGGAATATGTTCGCATCTGAATTTTCTTGCTGGATTCGAGGAGCAACAGTGGCATGCACTGCCTTAGTTTGGTAGAAAATGTGTTAAAAGTAGTACTTCTATATGCACGGTTGATTAGCTCTCGACTTTAGCGGTTGGGAGTTAGGACGACGCAGGAATTTCTACCTGGTCTGCATTACATCTTACACATACAGCCTTCACAGCGACTTTGTTTTTCTGTCTGGATCTCGAGAGTTTCTGGAAATCATTTTGGTTTCTCAAAACAGTTTTCAATAAACTATATAGTTGTTGTTTTTTAAAGAAAATAAAAATACCATGGTGCTGGAATTGTCATGGCTAATAATAGCACTGTTCCATTAGTGGCCTGATGACTGGAACGGTGAAGTTAATCTAGCATCCTATACTACTCATTTCCTTGGTACCTTTCCTCCTCCACTGTACCTTTCTTGCACGTTCAGTGCTCGTTCACCCATCAGGGGTCATATGATGACAGGTAGTGTTTCCTGAACTGGAAACACAAACAACTTCCTCCCATTCGTTAATCGTCATCTGCTCCGCACCTGCCAAGGAAAAAATTAATCAGTTTTGTGAGTATCTTTGAGGTCACCATGTTCCCTTGGACCCTTGCCTCATTGGGCTTTGTGTGTTGTGGTCCTTGACGATTTTTAGAAGCGGTGAGGCATCATTTGGTAAAAAAAAAAAGATGCTTCTTTCTTTGATGTAACAGTACCTTGCTACACTATGATGCAGATAAAGATCTCAGTACTACCACATATGGAAATGTGATTGCTAACTGCATGTTGCTGCAAAATTTCACTGGCCTTCAGGTCCTGGCTGTTCTTCGGTTGGAGGCGGCGCGTTTACGGAGCTCGGCCCATTTTATCCCAGAGGAGATGGCAGAGGCCTTCGTTTAAACAAGAAGTCGTGGAATAAAGGTTGGATTTTGGGAACCATCTCTCTGATCACATGTTTCAGTGAAAGAAAGTGTACATCTTACTAACTCTTTAGTTGTTTTACCTTTGTTATTTTTGCAGTGTCCAATCTTCTATTTGTTGAATCGCCCGCTGGAGTTGGATGGTCCTACTCCAACACTTCATCAGACTACAATACAGGAGATGCGCGGACCGGTAAACCGATGCGATCTTGTGACATCACAGAATACCGGTTAGCCTGAACACATCAATCTAACCGTATGTTTCTTCAATTATGCAGCAAATGATATGTACAAATTTCTGTTGGGATGGTATAAGAAGTTCCCGGAGTACAGATCAAGCAGCTTACTTCTTTCGGGAGAGAGCTATGCAGGTTAGAAAGCATTTCAAGTTCTACTTCAGGAATATGCGTTTTGATTGCCTCTCTTCTACGGCGAGTGATTCTACGCTAACGATAATGCAGGGCACTATATACCGCAACTCACCGATGTCCTTCTCACACACAATGAGAAATCTAAGGGTTTTAAGTTCAATATCAAGGGGGTAGCTGTAAGTAGTCAAGCATAGCCTGGTCATCTCTTGAATCAACTATGTTCTACTCCCTCCGTCCCATAATATAAGAGCACTTTTGACACTAGTGTAGTGTAAAAATGCTCTTAGATTATGGGACGGAGGGGGTACTTACTACTACTATTTTGTTGACTCTGAGATTACCTTGAGTAGATCGGGAATCCGTTACTCAAGCTTGACAGGGATGTCCCCGCGACATATGAGTACTTCTGGTCCCATGGTATGATATCCGATGAGATATTTCTGGCCATAAACAAGGGTTGTGATTTTGAGGATTACACATTCGGTAGCCCCCACAATGAGAGCAAGTCATGCAATGATGCCATTGCGGAGGCAAATGCTATAGTTGGACAATACGTCAACAATTATGATGTCATTCTTGACGTATGTTACCCATCGATTGTGATGCAGGAGCTACGACTGCGCAAATATGTATGCTCACTGCCTCATGGATGGTACATGATATTTCCGTCAGAACCTTTGATTGCTGTTGTGTGACTAGTTTTTTGTGCAACTTAGGTGACCAAGATCAGTTTAGGAGTGGATGTTTGCATGTCATATGAAAGGTACTTCTACTTCAATCTTCCAGAAGTGCAGCATGCTCTTCATGCTAATAGAACACATCTACCTTATGGCTGGGGCATGTGCAGTGAGTAAGTGCTTCTATTGCTACGTCTGCCAAATACACATGTTGGTCCTTTCAGTAAATATGTAAAGAGAGAAGAGAGTGTCAGAGTAAATGAACTGCTCATCTTTGCAACTCAAACTCACATGGATCATCTAAAATCATGTCCCAGTGTGCTGAATTACACCGATAAGGATGGTAACATCAACATCTTGCCTTTACTTCAGAGAATAGTGGAACATAAGATACCAGTTTGGATATTCAGGTAAATAACTTACCTTTTCATACTCCCATATACAAGTCTGAGTATATCTATTCAGATAATTTGTTTCATTCCGTGTGCAATTTGTTATGACAATGTGAATTACGTTACAGCGGCGATCAAGACTCTGTGGTGCCCCTCTTGGGCTCCCGAACCCTTGTGCGAGAGCTAGCTCATGACATGGGGTTGCCTGTCACAGTTCCGTACAGTACTTGGTTCCGCAAAGGCCAGGTATACTTCTATGCTATGAATACAAGTTGAATTACAGATGCCAAATTTGATGATATAAAACATGAATGTAACATCTGTTGCTATTTGATTTTCAAGGTTGGAGGCTGGACAACAGAGTATGGTAATCTTCTGACCTTTGCAACAGTGCGGGGCGCATCTCACATGGTGCCATTTGCACAACCAGACCGAGCTCTCGGCCTATTTCGCTCATTTGTGCTTGGACAGAGGCTCCCAAACACAACCTATCCACCCATTGGCGACTAAGTATACCTACAAAAGCAGCTGGATATAGAAAAAAAAATAGCTTAGGATTTTTCAGTCTTGCTACAAGAGTTCAGTTCTCAAGGATGTATAAGTTGATCAATAAGTTCTTGATTCTTCAGAAAGAATGGAAAAGTAATGCATGTTAGCAAGTATGATCTTTACCAGGATTATTAGATTGCATCCCTTAAAACCTGGAACGCAGATTCCAGAGTAATTTGTACAAGCAATTATGTCGATGTAGTTAATTTGGTGGGCACTTGCAAATGTAACTCTGCCTACATCATCTCATCGGTCCACACCTTATCCATGAATTTTTTTTACTCAAGACAATGTAACAAACTTCTACTAAAGTTACCTGCTACCATGCTGTGGTGAGCTCAACTACCGGCTGTGCCAGTCGGCAGGGCAGTTCCTTGCCTTAATCAGGGTTATTCCTGAACAAATTCTGCTTGACCAGTGTGCAAGGACACAAAGGTCCAGAAAGTAGAACTGCATCATCAAGAGTAAAATATTCAAGCTAATCTGCATCGAAGGACACAAAGAATACATTGCAATGGTAGTTTAAGACCTGGAACACACAGAAGCTGCCCCAGTTGGAGACTGGATGTCTCTTTGCTCCCCAAAGGCCAAAAGCCGACAGTAACAATATTTTTCTTATACATATAAAATACTATATTTGTTGTTCTTGGGCAGTCCCAAATTGCTGTCATGAAGTGAATCTGGACGGTATAAACGAGGTGACAAGTGATCACCTTGGCACCATTTACATTAACAACTCTATAGTAGGGTGACAAAGTATTACCATTCGAGAACAATGTTAACTTGGATGGAAACAATAAGAGTTGTATCTTCCTTTGGACCACTGTACAGAGTATAAACATAGAAAGAGTAGTATTTATAGCATACATATCAGTGTGTAGCCAAACTGGATTTCTCTTTTGTCTTTATTAATACTCTGATCTTGACTGAAAATATTAACCATGAATCCCTACCCTGCTGGCAAATAAGATTCCAGTGCTATACTATATATTCCTATGTAATACTAAGAAGAAAGCCACCCCAAATGGTACACAACTTTACAAAGTATACAGCAGTACCTTAATACTCATACTGACAGAAATCTGGCCAGCCAACATAGTGACTACAACCATAGTCAAAGCAATAAGTGGATAGTTCATTTATTTGCCCATCATCAGAGAGAAAAGAAATTGTCCAGAAGACTGAACTTAATTACAGATAAAGGGTCTAAGCAAAAGAACCACTGATTAGCTTACAAATCTGATTATAATCATGCAACCAGGCACAAAAACTCATGATGACTGTACCAATCTCTTTCTGGAGGTTACAGGCTTGATTAAAATGGCCAGTTGGTCACTGCCTTCATCGCTTTGCCCCCAAGCAAATTCTTTCTTGCTACTGTCTATGGGCCTAATGATTCTCTTTGTGATGTCCACATATTCTGCCATGAAATTTTGTATCACTGGTGGCAGTAGATTCAGTGCAGACTATAGAATTCCAACAAGAATTGAAACTTAATAAAAATATAACATAATTTTACCTTCAGTTTGGACGTGCTTTGTCAGCTTCAAAGCAGATGACTGAAGAACATAATGCTCACTCTTTCCAGTTGCAATTTTTCTTGTATCCCAGCTTTCCGCCATTAACAAATTTTGCATGCAACTGCGTTTTCCGCACTTCAGAACATGTGATTCATGTGTTATACAATCAGATCAGATATGTGGTACACTAGTACAACTGTGGAAGTCACTTCAGAGCAGACAGTCGTAGCCTCAAACTGAAGAACCAGCATCATTCTCACCCAATCACCGCTTCATCTTCACAGCATCTTGGTTCAGATATTGGCCACAAAAATATTCAAGGCCACGAGCGTCCACATTTACCAGAACTCCTTCATTGAATAAAAGAATTGCTCATGTGAACTCATGGTAGCAATTAAGGCTGGTTACTACTTTATCCTCAAACCAATATCTGACTGCCGTAGTACATGACTTAACCATACCAACTTCAGTGCTAAGTCGGCTTGTACTACTGGTCAGCATGCTCATATTCAGATTCTGAATTGCCCATATCCTTACGTAACCGATCTAAAATCCAAAACATTTTTCTCCTCAAATAACTCGGGACACTCCCTTGGTAAAAGGCATGAGCTCTTCCCTTCACATCAACCCAGCTGCAACCAGGCGTCTTCACCATGCCAAGTTCCCTCATCCTTAATCTTAATCCTGCAACACCATCAGACTGACCAACTGCACCATAAATTCCACAGAGAGTGATATAGTTACTGACATTGCCTTTTTCTAACTCAAACAGCCTATATGCTGCAATCTCTCCAACATCGACATTATTATGCGTGGCGCAAGCAGAGAGTAGAGCTCCCCATGCAGTAGCACAAGGTTCCATAGGCATCTTCTTTATAAGCCCGATAGCTTCTTCAATGGCTCCAGCACGCCCCAAGAGGTCCACCATACATGCATAGTGCTCAGAAGTGGGCTCTACACCATGAACCTTCCTCATTGACTCGAAGATCATCCGGCCATCAGTCACGAGCCCTGAGTGGCTGCAACTTGAAAGGACAGATGTGAAGGTGATACAGTTCGGTTTCACTCTCTGAGATAACATCTCCTCGTACACATGCAATGCCTCTTTTCCCTTTCCATGGACACCATAGCAAGATATCAGTGTCGACCAGCTCACCACATTCCTCTCCTGCATGCCTGCAAACACTGCTTGTGACGCGTCCACGCGCCCGCACTTTGCATACATGTCGATCAACGCGTTCCCAATTGGGATATCCAAATCGAATACAAGGCTTCGCACCATCCTACCATGTATTTCTCTCCCCTTCATCATCTCCCCTTCCTTTCCACAGACATTTAGCACGCTCGGCACAGCCCGCAGATCCCTTGCCATGTTCACCGCCTCCACCTGAGCCCTTCTGAAGAGCTCAAGGGTTTCAGCTGTCATCCCGGCCCTTGCATAAGCGGTAACCATGCAATTCCACACAACAGGGTCTCTTTCAGGCATCTCGTCGAACACCCTAACCGCATTGACCAGGAGACCAGCCTTGGCGTACATGTCAAGAAGTGCGCTGGAGACAACAACATTGGAGAGAAATCCTAACTGGACGGTAAATCCATGGAGTGCGGCGCCAAGAAGCGGGTCCTGGAGCTCAGCGCACGCCCGGAGCGCCGCTGGGACAGCATAGCAGTCAGGGCGGAAACCGGCGTCGAGGAGGCCAGAGAGTAGTTCGAGAGCTAAGAGGGGTGGGTAGGCGGCAAGGAGGATGTTGTACGCGTGCATGGACGGAGAAGGCATCGCGTCGAACACCTTGCGGGCGCTAGGGAGCGCAGCGCAGCGACAATAGAGCAGGACCAGGTCAGTCTCGAGGGTGGCCTGGGGTAGGTGGCCACCAACGAGAGCCTGTGCGTGGAGCTTCGCGCCGGCGATTAGAGCCTTAGCGGCGGCGCAGCGCCGAACGAGGTTGGAGAGACGGCCGGCGTTAGGCGGCGGCATCTTGAAGGCCGCCCGCTTTGAGGTGTACAGTGCTTCTTCGGTTTTTTTGGGGGAGTGGGGCAACTCCAGCGCCTCACTCACGACTCACGAGCAGGCGGTCGGGCAAGGCTTCTATGCGTCCGGCTCCGTTGTTTTTTGTTCTGTTTTTCGGTTTTCACCGATTTATATGCAATTTCAGGCGTTTTTATTAACTAAAGTCCAATAAAAATTGTCACAAATTGGCCATTACCGACTGCCTCAGCGCATAATGCCTCCAGGGTACATCCCAGTTCTAGGAGGGTAACTTCTTTTTTTTTTTTACTTCTACGGGTGTTTAAAAATATGTAGAAAAAGAACAAGCCTTGAAATAACCAAATGGCTAATAGCAGACATGGCTCTCATTTCAGTCCCCGGCTCCTCTCCTTTTCTCCTCGGACAACACCGTCGGTCAGGGTGAAAATGGGAGGGGAGCCTGGGTCGTCCCTATACATAGTATCTTCATGCTACTAGTTATCTTACGAGTGTTTTCCTTAGTGCCATTGTAAAGTTTCTCATGGGCGCATGCAGGTTGCGTCCAATGGCCTCCCATCTCTTCTATCGGTCGTATTCATCGGTGGAAGCCAACTGCTGGAGGTGGATTTGGCGGGAGGTGCTTCAATAAACTCGACGGTGGGCTACAACTGGTTGATACGGAGGCCTTCTCTTTCCGTCCTTGTGGAGGTGGAAGGAGAGACAGGGCGGATTCAGCTTTGGTTCCTTTATATCTATAGATATCTAGTGCACCTAAGGGTAAAAAAGAGTTGGCTTTGATGATTTTTGTTCTATCATGTGCATGACGGCGACCAATGGCAGCTAAAGTTGTGGATCCACAGACAAGAAGTTTTCAGTGTGGGGCTTTGGATGGCAAGAGTAGATCACTGGGTTTTATGTCGACTGCCACGTCCGACCGGAATGTCATGAATAAGAATTTTCATCTTGATTATCGAGACCAAAAAATGGAGTCCAACACAATAGCAAAGAGAAAAATGTACTCAACGAGATAACTACCCAAGTTCGTCACTTCTGAACCCGACCAATAAAGGTGGGGACTAGAGTTTTTACCTCGAACATGAAGTGATGCTCCAATCACCATCTCGCGATGCATTTTTCGATAGTTGCACGGGCCGATGAATACTCCATGCCAAGTCGAAAAGGCACTAGATGAAAAGGCAGCGGGCCCCTTGCGGCGAAGCCTAGCACCACTGCAATCGCCATGTCAGCCTTGCAGGTTGCAAACGACAGCGCCAGCGTCGCATCACCGCACAATACCGACATGATGCCCGGGCCGACTAGTCGGCACTGTCCAAAGTTGAGGCCTTGGGCTCCTATGGGGCCATGGACGCCAACGATAAGAGGGGTTAAGAGTGCTCATATGAGGTTTTCCATCGCCATGGCGGTGTCCACCATTTACATCAATGTTCCTAGAGCCCCAAGTTCGCCATAAAGATCACCTCTTCAGTAATGGCTCGCCGCCACCACGATAGCGGGATGTGACAACGTGGACGAGGAGAAAGGTGAGGATAAAAGAGAGGGACATGCGATTTGGCCATTGTCATTGCGAGGAACTTCACTGGAGAGATGTTTTGTCGGGGAGGAAAATCGTCGATCCTCATCTTCCAAATTGGGCACTCACTGTTGGAGATGGAGGCACGACTGCTGGGTGCCGGGCGGGGGTGATGTCCCCGCGCACGCCACTGACACAGTTGGAGGCGCGATGCCAAGCGCTGGGGCGGGTGTCGGTGTCAAAACCGGCGGATCTCGAGTAGGGGGTCCCGATCTGTGCGTCTAGGCTGATGGTAACAGGAAGCAAGAGACACAGATGTTTACCCAGGTTCGGGCCCTCTCGATGGAGGTAAAACCCTACTTCCTTCTTGATTAATATTGAAGATATGGGTAGTACAAGAGTAGATCTACCACGAGATCGTAGAGGCTAAACCCTAAGAGCTAGCCTATGATGGTATGATTGTAATTGTGATCGGCCTTCTAAGGACCATCCTCTCCGGTTTATATAGACATTGAAGAGGGCTAGGGTTTACATGGAGTCGGTTACAAGGAAGGAAACACAATATCCGGATTGCCAAGCTTGCCTTCCACGCCAAGGAGAGTCCCATCCGGACACGGGCCGAAGTCTTGAGTCTTGTATCCTCACGCTTCAATAGTCCGGACGATGTATACAGTCTGGCTGTCCGGATACCCACTTATCCAGGACTCCCTCAGTAGCCCCTGAACCAGGCTTCAATGACGATGAGTCCGGCGCGCAATCTTGTCTTCGGCATTGCAGGGCGGGTTCCTTCTCCGAATACTCCAAGATAATCGTCGAACACTTTTCACATACCGTTGTGGGAAACATAACACGAATCTGATCCGCTGGCAATCTTTGTCGTGCCCTTGCATCATGACCTGGTCCAACACGAACCAGCGTTCCCTGCCCCACCTCGACTCGTATTGTGAGGCGGTTTTATTGGCACGCCCTGCCAAGGCAGAGATCGTGTTCCTCTTATTACAGGATTTTTCATTAATATGGGCGTGCGTGACCCCACGACGACCGTTGGTATTACTCCGCGTGTTTTTAGATAAGCCTCAAGCAGTCACGTAGAGGACTCTTGATATTCATCCCCTTTATAAAGGGGTCGGGGCCTATGCCTCTTTTCCACCTCCCTTGCGCCTTCTCGCACCTCGAGCTCCAATGCCCAAGACCTAAGCCCAAACACCCCCAAATCCTCCAATATGTCCGGATCCAACCTTCAAGGCCGGTGGGTGGCCTCCTCGATCCAAGAGGAAGACATTGCGAAGCTTAGGGAGGTCGGATATCTGACCGCCGATATCCGGCACAGGCTTCCCGCTCTAGGGTAGGTCATCCCTACACCAGAGCCCAATGAGTGTGTTGTGTTCGTTCCTCACTTCCTCCGTGGCTTGGGCCTCACCCTCGGTCCTTTTGTGAGGGGCTCATGTTTTATTATGGGTTGGATTTCCATGATCTGGCTCCGGATGCCATCCTCCACATCTCGTCGTTCATTATAGTGTGCGAGGCCTTCCTCCATGTCGCCCCACACTTCGGCTTATGGCTTAAGACCTTCAAGGTGGAGCCGAAGATGATCGAGGGGAAACATGCGGAGTGTGGAGGTGCCGTAATAAGCAAGAACGCCGATGCCCCATGGCCGGAGGGTTCTTTCCCTGAAGTATTCGATGTATGGCAACGGAGGTGGTTTTATGTCATGGCTCCCAAAGGAACAAAGTGGGTGGCCGCCCCCGAGTTCCGCTCGGGCCCTCCGTCACAACTGGCGTCTTGGACTGATGTAGGACGGAATTGGGGGCCCACTGGCTATGTACTAGTATTGCAGAGCCGTATCCGGGAGCTTCTTGAGAGGGACATAAATCTTGTTAGCATAATGCAAGTGATGTTGATCCGACGGATGTTGCCGTGTCAACGCCGGCCTCTCCGGATGTGGGAGTTTAATCCAGAGGGTCCGCGGACTGTTAAGCACTTCTTCAGTTTGAAACTTGAAGGGATGCGCAAATTATTCTTCGGACCAAAAGTAGAATGTTCAGACACCACCAAGGATGCGGGCCTAAGCTACAATCGCCTAGATACCCAAGTAAGTAGCCTTGACACCGGACACCTTGTTTTGTATCTGCCATAGTTGTTTATTCTAAAAATCTTCTGTGGCCAGGAATGGCTCAGCAGGGCAGAGAGAATCAGGTGTCCGGCGCCACTTCCCGAAGGCTCACCAGGTTCCACTATGGCCAAGATGCTCGACTGGGTACTTAGTAGAATGCCCTCAGGGAAAGACAAGGGGAAGAACAAAGAAGCCGAACTCCACACGCTACGCATCTGAACCGGGGGAATTGTTACCTCCCGTAGGGAGGATAGTCAGGAAAGGGAGGCTAAGGCTTCCTCCTCGCGCGGGAAGAAGAGGGCTGCCTCCGAAGAGTTGGAGGCGGAGATGCCCAAACCAGGGAAAAAGGTATCCCCAGGGGACCCTGCCCCTACGGGCACCCTCACCGCATCATGCCCACCGACGGGCCAGCCCTCCACCGAGCCGTAAGTAAATCGTTTAATTTGAAGGTATTGTGTTTCTCCTAGATCAATAACCAGGATTCGTCCTTTGCAGTCCGGCTAGCAGCTCTTCTCGATAGAGTTCGTCTTCGGGGGACCTTCCTCCGGAGATGATGGAGAGTGAGACTCCACCCGCCTCTCAGACTCATGAAGTGGGCGACACCGAGGTGTCGTCACAGAGGAGTCCGGATCTGCCGAAGCCGGAGGCCAATGCGTCAGCCGCTCTGAGCCCGGAGCGTTTGGCTCACGCGGGGGAGTGATGGGAAGGGTCCGACACAGTTCGATGTCCGGTCGGACGTACTGACTGGCCTACTGGAGTGAGCTACGCTCTCGGAGGAGCACCACTCACTGATGAGCGAAGTGCTCAAGAAGATTTCATCCGCTACAAGCGGTTTGAATGAAGCGTTTACAAGCCTGCTCAGAGGCTTTGAGGTATGTAGTGAAGAATTCACTATTATTTTTTGGTTGTGAGGCATGCACTAGGTGTGCTCCATATAGATAGTAGCCCCTTAGACTCTGGTTGCCCGCCCTAGGCGGCAAATGGGGGATCATAAATCAATGACTGTGCTGTAAATATGTGCAGGTACCTATGGGTCCAGCTGCCGACCAGTCCGTTGAAGTTGCCAAACTAATGAGGCGGATTGGATCGATTGATGCCGATATCACGCTGGTGAACGAGCAGCTGGATACATCACAAGGTATGTGCTTCGCCTTCTGTTGTATGGGGAAATATGAAGGCGGCATGATATTAATGCAATATGTTTGGACTGCAGATGGTGCTGCTGTCGTGGAGGCCCTGAGGGCGGAACTTGCTCAAGCCAAGGAACAAGCTCGGGTGAGCAATGCATCTGCCCTAAAGGCGGCCGAGGAATTGAGAGCCGAAATGGCTGTTGAGTTAAAAAATGCCGCTGACCGGTATGAGCTC